CCCCCCCCGTGTTGCCACGACGGCGAGCGGTCCTCCCCGCTTTCGTCTCAGCCCCCACGTTGCAGGTGTCTTGTCTCAGCGAGTGTGGGAAGAGTAGGCCAAACGTCCCCCCTCCCTGGAGCTCCCTCTATGGGGTTGGGATATGGTCGGGGGATGTTTCGCTCACTCGCTCCCCATCTGCCTACAACGCCCACTCGCTCGCCCACATCTACCCACCCACTCGCCTGCTCGACCCCATCTGCCTACCCACTCGCCCACTCACTCGCCCCCCATCTACCCGCCCACTCGCTCGCCCCCATCTGCCTACCCACTCGCCCACTCGCCCCCATTTACCCACCCACTTGCCCACTCGCTTACTCACTCGCTCACCACTCGCCCCCATCTACCTACCCACTCACCCACTCGCTCACCCCCATCTACCTACCCACTTGCCCACTCGCTCGCCCCCATCTGCCTACCCACTCGCTCGCCCATTCACTCACTGGAAACCACCACTTCTGTCACCCGCTCGCTGTGAACGGTCGCCAAACTTGGTCATTAAAGCCATCACGTCACTTCCCCGTGTGTTTGCCACTGCCAGTCATGTGGTGAAGTCTCGCTTTGTTTAATAACACGTGGTGGTGGTGGTTGGTGGTAGTGGTAAGCATTTGCGACCAATATTATCCACGATAGAGTTTTTTTTGGGGGTTAGATGACATCATGTTCACTCTCCGTCTGTTTAAGACCGAAACAGCAAGGGAAGATTTCTCCACAAGTCTGGCTGTCGCCTGACGATGCTGGTTGTTGTTGTTGTTGTAATCACCCGCGAATCGTCACCGGCTCCTCGAATTGTGTAAATGTTGCTGTGGGTATCACTCTCCCCAACACGCAACAACCGGCCAAGTGCTGGGCACGGGTCTGTTTACGTGACAAACCCTTCACTGGTTGGCTGCGTCGGGTGGTGGCGGGTTTAACGACGACACAACATTTGTATTCACGCAATCTAACCCAACAAAAAGTTGTACTTCTATTATGGAACTCTATCTTTGTTCAATTTTAGCCGAAACTTGGCTTTGCATTCTCGTACGGCACGTTGTCACAACCCCAACAAAACTAAAGAGCTGAAATAACTGCGGTGAATGATAACGACAATGGGGAGTCGTTCCCTCTTTGGCATGGATGGTAGTGGAGCTGAGTGGACTTGCCAACGACTGGTACCAGCGGTGGAGGAGGCTCGTGAAGGACGCTGCTAGGCAGTTGGAGGCAGTCGCCCTCCAACAACGGAGGGCAGAGGAGCGACGCTCACAACAACGAATGGAGCGTTGGGTGGAGGCACAGGTGGTGCATCGGCCACTCATCTCAGTCAACCCATGACACCTGCTGGGTCTGTCCCGTGACCTGCCAGCGGGCGTTCGACACTTCACATGGCCTTAAAGTGGACGTTGCCTGGCACAAGCGCTGTGGCGATGTCACTGCCACTTAGTGGCGAATGGCGGTTGTTGGTGGTGGTGGTAAACAGTCAAGGGAGGAAGGTGAGAGCCCCCCATAGAAAGGTAACAGCCCCGGAATCAGAATATTTATATCTACTGGAGGAATCTGATGAGCCATAAAGCGAATGTTGCGGTGGTGCTGAGCTTCCCGAAGTTTCCCCGAGCGGAGAGAGGGAGCGAGGGAGAGAGGGAGCGAGGAGCGAGCGTGCCACGCACTCCCCGGCGCGTCGCCGGCCGGCCGGACCTCCGTTTGTGCGCCCAGGATTTCAGGTGCAGGCGCCCGGATCCGGGGCAGGGAGGAGTCGGGGGGGGGGAGTAATCGGTGACTCGATAATCGGTAACTTACCGATTACAAGCTCCGTTGCTCGACCAATCGGATAAAAGTCTCGCCTCTGATTGCCGCGCGTGCCGCTGGATGGGTGGCGGAGGGGAGGGGTGGGTTTTTTCAAGATTTGGAGGCAGATGGCTTTTGAATGAGCCCCCCCGCCCCGCAGTTACCCACCGTAAAAACAAAAACATCAACGGTGGTCATTATAACGTTACATCGACCGACTTCATTGAATAAAAACTATTAAATAATTTATTTTACCAGGTGAGGCCCCACTGAGCTGTACAGCTCTTTTTTCAGAAGCGACCTGGCCATCGCGAATGATAGATCAACGAAAGTGAGATCATCATCGTCATCATCATCCTCGTCGTCATCGTCGCGTGGAAATTTATAGCAACGGCCAAACACTGTTAAACGCGCGTGACGTTCATTTTAAATGTGGAGGGGAAAGAAAACGGAGGACCCGGAGAAAAATCCACTCGACCACGGGGAGAGAGACACAAATACAGAGGTTCGGGATCGAACCCGCGAACTTCCTGCATACCGGGCGAGGTAGTTAACATCTCCGAGCCACCGCGGCGGCCAGCATCGACCGATGGCTCCGGTTGACTCTTCGTGGTCGTCGCGAGCTCGGGGTTCGGAGGTCGTCGTTTCAGAAATGACTTTGGGCGATCGCAAAAATCTCCATCCCTTTCTCGGCCGTCGTCTGTGCCAGCCTTGCGGGAAGGGGGCAGCTCGTTGTGCTTGGGTCTAAGTTGTCGTCGTCGTCATTGCTTTGAATCAGGATCTGCCGGTACTTTTCCAAGAGTTACATTTATTTTAAACACTTTTGATTGCCTCCGATTTTGCTTGAATGAATGAATGAAATAATAATAATAATCATCATCACGCTTTACCCGATTGTGTTTACAAGCGATCGATATTGTGCAAATGACGAAAAAAACTAATGTCACACGTTACTGTTCAGTTCTATTTAAATCCACCAATAAAAGCAATACCTGATGTACATATCCACCGTGCGTCCGCAAGTCGCCGAGGTCGTCCGCGCGTCTTTGAAACGGCGCACCGCCGGCCGCCGCAAGCCACGGAACACCCCGACAGTGAGAGGGGCAGGGAAGGAAGCTGCGCGCGGCCTCGCGTGGCCTCGCGCGGCCTCGCGCGGCCTCGCGCGGCCTCGCGCGGCCTCGCGCGGCCTCGCGCGGCCTCGCGCGGACGACGACTCTTCTGCCACAGTCCAACCAGACGGCACCGCACCGTCGGGAACGCGTCCGACCACGTCGTGTTTACGGAAGCACAGCGAGGGGTTCATTGTGGGACCTCCCTTGTCAGTATCGAAATGTAACAATAGGTTTTACGCCTTCTGGCAATAAAACAGTTGTGTTCAGATGTTAAAACACCAAACGGAAGCCTTTTGCAATGAATCATGTCTGCATTAACGACACGGTACTGGTGGCGAACATGCACGCTTTTTGTTGGGTGTTTTAACATCTTAACACAATTGTTTTATTGCCAGAAAGGGTAAAACCGATTCCTATGACCAAGGGTTTGTTGAGCACGAGTAACGATTTTGTTCTATTTTCATTTGACCAGGTAAGGCCCACTGAGCTACGTAGCTCTTGTTCAGAAGCCACCTGCTTATCACAAACGATAGCTCTACGAAGTGGCTTATCATCACGTGGACATTTATAGCAGCCACATACTCTAAATACGCCTTTATAAATGTGGAGGTGAAAAAGCGGAGGGCCCGGAGGAAAATCCACACGACCACGGGGAGAGAGTGGAAACTCCAAATATACAGCAGGCATCAGGGTCGAACCCACGACCTCCTGCATACCAGACGAGGGAGTTAACATCTCGCCACTGTGGCGTAACTCGTGGATGGATGCTCACTGTGGGTGGATCATGGCGCCACGATAGGAGATGTTAACTACCTCGCCTGTTATACAGATCATCGGTTTCATCTCGACCCCTACGCCTGCTGCTGTATATTTGGAATTTGCGGTGCCTCTCTCCCTGTGGTTGCGTGGATTTTTTTCTCCGTGTCCTTTGGTTTTTCCCTCCAATTTTAGAATCAACATCACACGTTTAGAGTATTTGGGCTGCTGCTATTCTTGCCCGCGTGATGATGATATGGGCCAGGTCGCTTCTCAAAAAGAGCTACGTAGCTCAGTGATGGGCCTTACCTGGTAAAATGAAATAAAAGTTTAGTTTAGGTGCAGTCGACCACGGAGGCTCCATTGTGTGCAGGAAAGAGAATGGTGCAGTGAAAATTAGAATATTTATTAATACTGGAGGCATCTGATGAGCGAAAAAAAAAATTTCACAGATGTCCAGCAATAGAAACCCATCCTTGTATTGCACTTCATTGCTCCCACCTACGCTGCCCGCCTTTGCCAACCGGCACTGACCAAACAAACCTCCACGACCCGCACAGCACTGGGAGGCCCTCATCCAGCAGATAGACAAATGTAGCTGCACGGTGCTACTTCTTCTGCATCACCAGTTGGCAACTGAGCGGAAAAGATGCAGCATTAAAATTTGACGGTAAACACCTTTAAATGCCAGCAAAAGCCACCAATCGAGTCGTGACGAAGCCAACACGGTGGCGTGTATCATGTCGACAGCAGCTCGGTTTTTGCATCTCCACTACTCTACGGGACGTCTGGAAATAACATTACCAAGCTGCAGAGTGCGTACGCAATTGAGCACTGCAAGATCCGACCGTGCTGCATTGGCTTCCAGTTGTCGAATGAATACTTTGCAAGGTTGCGCTCATTACACACACAAAGTGCTTGCCACAAATGAACCACAATACCATTGCTGATCTCGTCAAGGAGCATAAACCATCATCACGCAAACTCCGGTCATCATCCTCAGAGCAGCAGCGGCTTTTGGATAATCGTCGAAAAAAGATGGTGGTCACCGCATCATCGCGCGGCACTTTCAGATGCGCTCTTGTGGCCGTCTGGAACGTTCTTCCTTCCGATATTCGGAATCCACTGGAGCTATGCACTCTAATCAACTAGCTTGACAAACTCATTTCTACGAGAACTTCTTTTGTTGTGTTTAGTTTGTTGTCCCCCCCCCCCCCGCACCTCCGATGATGAGCACGGTTGGCTACGCACACGGTGCCAAAGAAGTTCAATGTAGACGCGTACAAAACAACGGCCAGCGGACAATGGGAACGCGCGGAAAGAGAAACGTGTGATTTATTTTTTTATTTGTAAATCTGCGTGCGGTACACGGCTGAGATCTCGCACAAACACACAAACGGCGGTGACGGTGGCACGCGGGCACCCAGCAGCAACATAACGAGCAACACAACGCGGTGGGGGGGACGTTCCTTTGGTTTTGATAAATGGCGACAACTGTCGTAGCGAGCGAGTGAGCGAGCGGGTCACGGTTTGCGGGGTCGCAATCGCCGATCGAGCGAAACGGTGTCACGTGAAGCGTTTAAATCGCTCGATTTTAAGGCAGCCGGAGCTGCAGGTCAGGGGGAATTGTGCCAGAAGTGGCAACCACCGTCAAATCGCAAGGTCATCGCCCCACAGTCCGAGTGGATTTACAGAGGGGGGTTTGCTGCCGGGGGCCCTCTTCCCGCCTCCTCGTCCTCTCGGTAACCTCGCCGCCCCCCCCTCTCTCTCCGCGTCACGGCTCGTGAGGCTTGGCGAGCATCTTCATTCCAAGCCGGCCGACCATCATCAAGCTTCACGGAGCACAACGGCAACAAACACCACCACGACAACAACAATGAGAACACCGCAGCAGCAACAACAACACAACAGCGTGTCATGTGACACACGCACAGAGGGTGCCGCGCCCACCCTACCCACCACGACCCCTGCCTCCCCATGACCACCACGCCGCAGGCATCGGAGCAAGTCGGCAGCCAACCAACTGACGGTGAGCATTGCTCCATCGCCAACTTGCACAAACACAAGATCCCCCCCGGATAACCATAGCCCCAACAAACCGTTGGGGCAAATGCGGTCAGCGAGCACTTGTGAAGGCCGATGCAGTGCGCACGGCGTGTGTGGCCAGCACACACGCCCCACACCAGCTATTCATTTAAGCCTAATTCGACCTACGGGAGGGCCCAGGATAATCATCACCGATGTTGGCCGTGAGCGGGAATCAAAACAGGAATCGCTGGGTTCGTAGTGCAGCTTAGTGCCAAAGGCTGTACCACCGCGGCCTACAATATTTCACGCACGTGTGTACGTACGTGCGTGCGTGCGTACGTGCGTGTGTGTGTAAGTGCGTGTGTGTGTGAGGTGGACTCAAAGACTCGGCCTCAAACGAGTACCTGGTGCGGTGTGTAAACATCGTTCCTGGGGAGACGCAGGCGGCCGGGCGTGGTGCTGGCCACCCACCGCCTCGTGCGCCGTGCAGAGCCTTCACAGGTGCACTCTAACAGCACTTACTCCCAACAAGAGACATGGGGGATCTTGGTGTGTAGGCAGTATATGGGGAGCAGTGGCACAGCGGTTATAGCGCTGTGCTACACTATGGGGTACGATTTGCACTCATGGCCACCGCCAATGACGATAAAATCTGAACCGGTCCTGGGCCTCCCCTAGGTCGACTCAGCCTCAAATGACTACCTGATGCAGTGGTATCAAACCAGGCACACCCGCAACACGAGGGTCAACGTCGGGCGCCACCGCACAGCACGCAGCGACGTTACGCAAGACCCCACGACGCCCCCACACGCCGCACGAGATGTGCGGCAACGCGCCGCGTAACAAACCGCAACGCGTGTCGCCTACTGCAGCGCATAGCACGACACGGCACAACACAAAGATCCCCCCGTGTAGCCTGAACAGGCTGTTGGGGCGAGCGCTGTTAGCGAGCAGCAGCTATGAAGGCCGGCACGGCGCACACGAGGGGGTGGGTGGCCAGCGCCACGCCCGACCGCCTTTGTCTCCCCAGTTGCGATATTTTACAAACCGCACCAGGTACTCATTCGAGGCTGAGTCGACTTAAGGGAGGCCCTGGACCGGTTTAGATATTCGTTGCTGGTGTTGGCCGGAATCGAACTTGGGTCGCCGGGTTTGTGGCGCAGCGTGCTAACCACTGCACCACCGCTCCCCACGAGACCACACACACACCAACGCGGTGTGATATAACATTACACGCACCACACATGCTGGGGGGGGGGGGAGCAGTGCTGCAGCGGTTAACGCGCTGCGCGACAAACCCAGCAAACCGGATTCAATTCCCGCTTAAAGCTGACACCAGTGACGATTAATTATCTGAACCGGACCTGGGCCTCTCCTAGGTCGATTTAGCTTCAAATGAGTACCTGGTGCGGCGTGTAAATATCGCCACTGAGGAGACAAATGCGGCCAGGCGTGGTGCTTGCCACCCACCCCCTCGTGTGCCGTGCCGGCCTTCGTAGGTGCTGCTACTCGCAAACAGCACTTGTCCCAACAGTCTGTTGAGGCTACCCGGGGGATCTTTGTCTTTGGGGGTGAGGGATCTCACCTCGCGCCGGCTATGATCCCTGCCGGGATGAGCTTCCCCGAGTTGTAGAATCTCATTCCCATCACCCCCGTCAGCAACCCGGAGGCCGCTGAGAAACACAGGGGGAGCATGAGGGGCAGCTCAGGGGCACACTCGTCACACACTCGTCACACACCCGGCACACGTGGAACACCCGGCACACAGTCGGGACTATCCTGAACTATTTTTTATGTTACCAGGTAAGTGCCCCACCACTGAGCTGCGACGGAGCTCTTTTGCAGCAGCGACCCTGACTCTCACCAACGGTAGCTCAACTAAGCGGTGGCTTATCACGGGGAAATTCAAAGCAGCCAAATACTCTAACCGCACGTTTTTAAACATGCGTTTAGGCATCTACAACAATTACTAAGTCAACTGTTCCCGTCTTCAAAAGTAACTAATTTTATTGGACTAAATTGCCTTTGGATGGATAAAAGTTACTTGTAAAACTAAAATGATAGCTCAACCAAGTGGCTTATCACGTAGGAATATATAGCAGTCGCCAAATTACTGTAAACGCGTGATGTTGATTCTAAATGTGGAGGGAAAAACCAGAGGACCCAGAGCAAATTCCACGCGACCACGGGGAGAGAGACACGCAAACTCCAAATATCCAGCAAGCATCGTCAGGGTCTGGATCAAACCCAAGACCTCCTGTATACCGGGCAAAGTAGTTAACATCTCCTAGCCACCGTGATGATGATGAGAGCGAGAGACACGCAAACTCCAAATATACAGCAGCAGGCGTCGGGGACGGGATTGAACCTACGACCTCCTGCATATCAGGCGAGGTAGTTAACATCTCACCACCGTGATGATGATGAGAGACACACAAACTCCAAATATACAGCAGCAGGCGTCAGGGTCGGGATCGAACCCGCAACCTCCTGTATACCAGACGAGGTATACAAGATTCCGACCACGGCCGTTGGAAAACTTTCCGTCGCTCAACTCGCTCAGAATGTTCTTCCAGCTCGCGACGGCACTTGCCTGCTCCCCACCACACATCGCCATCTCCGCTCCAGCAAAAACCCCAAAAGGCTTTGTGTGGGAGACCTCCACGTAGAACAAGCGGGGAGAGCACACAAACCCAATGGGTGCTCGAACCCAGGCCTTCGTTGGTGCGAGGCCCCGGGTGTTACCACCGGCGCCGGCGGCCCCAGCGCTACTCACCGAGTGCGGCCCACACGTTCTTGGGGTCGTTGGAGGTCTGGTAGGCCCCGAACCCGGCCAGGCCCCCGAAGAGCAGGCCGGCCGCCAGGGAGGGGACGCTGCCTGCAAAGGCAAAAGGCAAAGATCCCACACCACCCTCCCAGCATAGCCACCAACAAACTATTAGGGCAAGTGCTGTAAGCGAGTAGCACCGATTATCAAAATGAGAATATTTATTTATTACTATAGGAATCTGATGAGCTATGAAGCTCTTTTTTCACAGATGTCCAGTAGGGGAACGGGTAAGAACATTACAACAAACAGTACAAAAACATGATCGGAGTGCAAAGTACAATGAAGGTAAACGAATCACCGAAACGCATACAAATACAACACGAAACCATCCCCATCCTACCAGGCAAAGCCCACTGAGATATAAAATTACTACAAATGTTAGCTCAACAGAGTGGCTTATTGTGGACATTTATAGTAGAAAAATCATCAAAATGTTTCTAAATGTGGAGGGAAAACCCGGAGGACCTGGAAAAAAAAATCTACGCGACCACGGGGAGAGAGACATGCAGACTACAAAGTTCAACATACATATGGGAGCAAGTGCTGTTGTCACAATTACACCGATATATTACACGTGGCCAATCAGCATACCAGTGAGGGGTGGTGTGGTGTGAGTGAGTGAGGTGTGGTGTGAGTGGGGGATGGTGTGAGTGGGGGGTGGTGTGGTGTGAGTGAGAGGTGGTGTTGTGTGAGTGGGGGTGGTGTGGTGTGAGTGGGGGGTGGTGTGGTGTGAGTGAGGGGTGGTGTGGTGTGAGTGGTGGAGGCCCCGCGCAGACGAGGCCGAGACGACGCCGCGGCGTACCTGCTTTGACGTAGCCGATGACGCCTCCCGAGGCGACGAGGGCGGCGTAGCCGTAACCGATCCAGTCCACGGGCATCCTGCACGCGGGCGGGCGGGCGGGGCGGTCCAGTTTGTTAACCACGACGAGGTGAAATAAACGCGGCCGGGGACACGGAGAGAGGTGGCGGCGTTGCCTCCTGCGCGAGGGCGACCTGGGGGCTTACGCCGCGTGAGGTTCGTGGCTCGAATCCAGTGGGCTGCCCTGGTTATCACTGCGGTGCGTTAACGTGCTTCTCCTGTCGTTAAGGTGAGCAGGATAATCGGGTGGAGCGCTGCGCTGCGCTACGGACCCCGGCGACCCGGGTTCCATTCCCGCTCACGGCCAACACCGGTGGCTGTTGTCCGAACCGGTCCTGGACCTCCCCTAGGTGCGGTGTTGTAAACATCGCCACTGGGGAGACAGAGGCTGGCCACCCACCCCCTTATTCCAGCCTTCGTAGGTCCTACTTACTAACAGCACTTGCCCCAACAGTCTGTTAAGGCTACACGGGGGACCTTTGTCTTTCCAGGGACGTTAACAATCCCACGTATAAATTCGATTGGGCTGTTGTGTCCTCGGCGTCGTGGTCCCAAATTATAGCAAAGTAAAAAAAAACGAATGACCTGCACATTGAGCGATTTGGATTATGCACAGCAGCCCCCCTACTATGAGACCAGGCTGAGTCTGTCAAACACAGCAGCAGCAGCAGCCCCCCTACTATGAGACCAGGCTGAGTCTGTCAAACACAGCAGCAGCAGCAGCAGCCCCCCTTCTATGAGACCAGGCTGAGTCTGTCAAACACAGCAGCAGCAGCCCCCCTACTATGAGACCAGGCTGTGTCTGTCAAACACAGCAGCAGCAGCCCCCCTTCTATGAGACCAGGCTGAGTCTGTCAAACACAGCAGCAGCAACAGCCCCCCTACTATGAGACCAGGCTGTGTCTGTCAAACACAGCAGCAGCCCCCTACTATGAGACCAGGCTGTGTCTGTCAAACACAGCAGCAGCAACAGCAACATCCCTACTATGAGACCAGGCTCTGTCAAACACAGCAACAGCAGCACCTGCCATCGTGCCAGCCTTGTGCTATGAGAATTGTGTAGATGCCAAATGCATTAAATTATCATCTCCCCTTGGAAACTTGCGGGACATGGGATCAAGTGGCGATTGCTTTGCCTGCCAGTGGGTGCACCCCCCCCCCCCCCGGAATCCTATAGAACGGCCGATATTGAATCCACGCATAAACGATCAAGGATCAATAATATTAACGTGTTTAAGCAAACGGATAGTCCACCGCCGGCTGCATTAAACAATTAAGTTGCGTAACTTGGCCACTGATGTTGCTGAACTGCGTGATAGCTGCAGTCAGGGGGGCACGGTGGTGGCACACGAAGTGGCACCTCTCCCAGTCCCACCGCTCCCGGCAGGACTTGTTGTGTGACAGCTGGAGACACTGAACTGGGGTCAATTGAAGGCCAATGTCTACAAATTGTTATCGAGGCTCCACCTCCCCTCCCCCCACCGTTTCCTATGCGCAGATTGTCAGTAGACCCCCCATACACAAGCTACGTATTTGGGTTACCCCCCCCCCTTCCATGCGTACGTACTAAATGGATGTTCCCTAAGCGCGCTTGTGGTGGGGTAAATAGTGGGTACACCCACCTCGTCCAAGACGAACAAACACCGCCTGGAGGAGGGAGGGGCTCACGAGCCCCTAACCACCGTTGTCAGCAGCGGCGTGAGCGAGCAATTTACTCCAAAGCTAAACAAATATTTATTCTTCTACTACCAGGGTAAGGCCAACTGAGCTACGTAGCTCAATTCGAGAAATGATAGCCCAACGAAGTGGGCTCATCGTCATCATCGTGCGGAAATGCTGAGCAGCAGCCAAACGCTCGAAACGCGGGACGTCGACTCGACATGCGTGAGGGGAGAACCCGGAGGAGCCGGGGAGAGAGAGAGACACGCAAACCCCAAATACAGCAGCAGCAGCAGCAGGCATCGTCGGGGTCGAACCCATGACCTCCTGTACACCAGGCGAGGTAGTTAACATCCCCTAGCCACCGTGATGATGATGAGAGACACGCAAGCCCCAAATACAGCAGCAGCAGGCATCGTCGGGGTCGAACCCACGACCTCCTGTACACCAGGCGAGGTAGTTAACATCCCCTAGCCACCGTGATGATGATGAGATACATCGCAAACCCCAAATACACAGCAGCAGCAGCATCAGGCATCGTCAGGGTCGGGGTCGAACCCACGACCTCCTGTACACCAGGCGAGGTAGTTGACATCTCCTAGCCACCGTGATTATGATGATGAGAGAGAGAGACGCAAACTCCAAATATACAGCAGCAGCAGCAGGCATCGTCAAGGTCGGGGTCGAAGCCACGACCTCGTGTGTACCGGGCGAGGGAGTCAACATCTCCTCGCCACCACGGCGCCCCTGCACGTGAATGGTGGAGCGGTGGTTGGCGCACTGGGTACGAGTCCCGGCCACGGCTACCGTCAGTGGCGGTGACGTCGCCAGGGCGCTTGTGCCAGGCTAGGTGCACCTTGACACGGTCACGTCAAGCGTGGAAGGGTCGCTGCTGGCAGGTCACGGGACAGACTCAGATGCTCTCGGTTGACGCAGTGCCAGGCTAGGTGCACGACTTTACGGCACAGCAGTCAACCCATAACACCTGGGTCTGTCTCGTGACCTTCTCCTGCACCTAGCCTGGCACAGCAGTAATCACCCACGGCACCTGATGCTTCTATCCCGTGACCTCCTGCGGGCAGCGAGCCTTCAGACGACGACGCTCTCACGTGACGGCCTCAGGAGTGCACCTAGCCTGGCACGAGCGCCGTGGCGGCGGCGTCACCGCTCACTCGGTGGCGAACGTCGGTTCTTGTGAGCGAGAGGAGAGAGAGTGAGAGGACAGAGAGCCCGAGAGAGTGAGAGAGAGGAGAGTGAGAGAGAGTGTGAGAGAGAGGAGAGTGAGAGAGAGTGTGAGAGAGAGGAGAGTGAGAGAGTGTGAGAGAGAGGAGAGTGAGAGAGAGTGTGAGAGTGAGAGAGTGTGAGAGAGAGGAGAGTGAGAGAGTGTGAGAGAGAGGAGAGTGAGAGAGTGTGAGAGAGAGGAGAGTGAGAGAGAGTGTGAGAGAGAGGAGAGTGAGAGGAGAGAGAAGTGGGAGTGAGAGAGACGCGACTAAGCAGAGGAGGTCACCACGTGTGCGTGAGGAGGAAGGGGCCGTGGCCACGCGCGGCCGGCGCGCTGCACGAATCGCGCCCCCCCCCCCCCCCCCCGGGGACGACGACGATCACGAACTTCGTCATCAGAAACATCGCGGAGGCTGCGGCTGTGCGTGGCATCTCCGAGCTCTATCCCGAGCTGCATGTCAAGCTGCATGTTAAGCTGCATGTTTCTAATCTGCATGTCAAGCTGCATGCAAAGCTGTATGTTGCTAAGCTCTATGTCAAGCTGCATGTCAAGCTGCATGTCAAGCTGCATGTCAAGCTGCATGTCAAGCTGCATGTTTCTAATCTGCATGTCAAGCTGCATGCAAAGCTGTATGTTGCTAAGCTCTATGTCAAGCTGTATGCTGCTAAGCTCTATGTCAAGCTGTATGCTGCTAAGCTCTATGTCAATCTGTATGTTGCTAAGCTCTATGTCAAGCTGTATGCTGCTAAGCTCTATGTCAAGCTGTATGTTGCTAAGCTCTATGTCAAGCTGTATGTCGCTAAGCTCTATGCCAAGCTGTATGTTGCTAAGCTCTAAGTCAAGCTGCATGTTGCTAAGCTCTATGTCAAGCTGTATGCTGCTAAGCTCTATGTCAAGCTGTATGCTGCTAAGCTCTATGCCAAGCTGCATGTTGCTAAGCTCTAAGTCAAGCTGCATGTCGCTAAGCTCTATGTCAAGCTGTATGTTGCTAAGCTCTATGTCAAGCTGTATGTTGCTAAGCTCTAAGTCAAGCTGCATGTTGCTAAGCTCTATGTCAAGCTGCATGTTGCTAAGCTCTATGTCAAGCTGCATGTCGCTAAGCTCTATGTCAAGCTGTATGTCGCTAAGCTCTATGTCAAGCTGTATGTCGCTAAGCTCTAAGTCAAGCTGTATGTTGCTAAGCTCTATGTCAAGCTGTATGTCGCTAAGCTCTATGTCAAGCTGCATGTCGCTAAGCTCTAAGTCAAGCTGTATGTCGCTAAGCTCTAAGTCAAGCTGCATGTCGCTAAGCTCTATGTCAAGCTGTATGCTGCTAAGCTCTATGTCAAGCTGTATGTTGCTAAGCTCTATGTCAAGCTGTATGTCGCTAAGCTCTATGTCAAGCTGCATGTCGCTAAGCTCTATGTCAAGCTGTATGTTGCTAAGCTCTATGTCAAGCTGTATGTCGCTAAGCTCTATGTCAAGCTGTATGTCGCTAAGCTCTATGTCAAGCTGCATGTCGCTAAGCTCTATGTCAAGCTGTATGTCGCTAAGCTCTATGTCAAGCTGCATGTCGCTAAGCTCTAAGTCAAGCTGCATGTCGCTAAGCTCTATGTCAAGCTGCATGTCGCTAAGCTCTATGTCAAGCTGTATGTTGCTAAGCTCTATGTCAAGCTGTATGTCGCTAAGCTCTATGTCAAGCTGTATGTTGCTAAGCTCTATGTCAAGCTGCATGTCGCTAAGCTCTATGTCAAGCTGCATGTCGCTAAGCTCTAAGTCAAGCTGCATGTCGCTAAGCTCTATGTCAAGCTGCATGTCGCTAAGCTCTATGTCAAGCTGTATGTTGCTAAGCTCTATGTCAAGCTGTATGTTGCTAAGCTCTATGTCAAGCTGTATGTTGCTAAGCTCTATGTCAAGCTGTATGTTGCTAAGCTCTATGTCAAGCTGTATGTTGCTAAGCTCTATGTCAAGCTGTATGTTGCTAAGCTCTATGTCAAGCTGTATGTTGCTAAGCTCTAAGTCAAGCTGCATGTTGCTAAGCTCTATGTCAAGCTGTATGTTGCTAAGCTCTAAGTCAAGCTGTATGTTGCTAAGCTCTATGTCAAGCTGTATGTTGCTAAGCTCTAAGTCAAGCTGTATGTTGCTAAGCTCTAAGTCAAGCTGTATGTTGCTAAGCTCTATGTCAAGCTGTATGTTGCTAAGCTCTAAGTCAAGCTGCATGTTGCTAAGCTCTATGTCAAGCTGTATGTTGCTAAGCTCTAAGTCAAGCTGTATGTTGCTAAGCTCTATGTCAAGCTGTATGTTGCTAAGCTCTAAGTCAAGCTGTATGTTGCTAAGCTCTAAGTCAAGCTGTATGTTGCTAAGCTCTATGTCAAGCTGTATGTTGCTAAGCTCTAAGTCAAGCTGTATGTTGCTAAGCTCTATGTCAAGCTGTATGTTGCTAAGCTCTAAGTCAAGCTGTATGTTGCTAAGCTCTATGTCAAGCTGTATGTTGCTAAGCTCTAAGTCAAGCTGTATGTTGCTAAGCTCTAAGTCAAGCTGTATGTTGCTAAGCTCTAAGTCAAGCTGTATGTTGCTAAGCTCTATGTCAAGCTGTATGTTGCTAAGCTCTATGTCAAGCTGTATGTTGCTAAGCTCTAAGTCAAGCTGTATGTTGCTAAGCTCTAAGTCAAGCTGTATGTTGCTAAGCTCTAAGTCAAGCTGTATGTTGCTAAGCTCTATGTCAAGCTGTATGTTGCTAAGCTCTATGTCAAGCTGTATGTTGCTAAGCTCTAAGTCAAGCTGTATGTTGCTAAGCTCTAAGTCAAGCTGTATGTTGCTAAGCTCTAAGTCAAGCTGTATGTTGCTAAGCTCTATGTCAAGCTGTATGTTGCTAAGCTCTATGTCAAGCTGTATGCCGTGTGACCCTGCGCCATCCAGGGCGAGGTGGCGAGGAGGCGGTTCGAGAGAGAGAGGCGCGCCAGGCCCGCTCGCCTCCACCGGGGCTCGTCCTGCTGGGGCCCAGCCTCCTCGTGCGCCGCCACGGAGCGGCGTGGAAGCAAGAGGGTGTTCAGTAGACGTCGACAGATCGAGAGAGAGGAGAGAGAGGAGAGGGAGAGGAGAGGGAGGGGAGAGAGAGAGCGGCGTCCCTCACCTTGCGGGCGGGCGGAGAGCGCGGCCGAGTGGCTGGGACGGTGAAGATGGAACCGGGTCCAGGGCGTCACACCGGGATCCGGATCCTCGTTGCGACATCGCGGGAATCGAATCCCCGTTGCTCCAGGAAAACCGGGTTCTATTGCGTTGCTACGGAAACCCCGTTCTTATTGCGTTGCTACGGAAACCCCGTTCCTATTGCGTTGCTACGGAAACCCCGTTCCTATTGCGTTGCTACGGAAACCCCGTTCCTATTGCGTTGCTACGGAAACCCCGTTCCTATTGCGTTGCTACGGAAACCCCGTTCCTATTGCGTTGCTACGGAAACCCCGTTCCTATTGCGTTGCTACGGAAACCCCGTTCCTATTGCGTTGCTACGGAAACCCCGTTCCTATTGCGTTGCTACGGAAACCCCGTTCCTATTGCGTTGCTACGGAAACGCCGTTCCTATTGCGTTGTTACGTAAAACCCCGTTCCTATTGCGTTGCTACGTAAAACCCCGTTCCTATTGCCTTGCTACGGAAACCCCGTTCCTATTGCGTTGCTACGGGACCCCGGTTCCTATTGCGTTGTTACGTTAATCCGTTTCCTATTGCGTTGCTATGCAAACAAAGCTCCTATTGCGTTGCTATGCAAACCCGATTCCTATTGCGTTGCTACAGGGCCCCGGTTCCTATTGCGTTGCTATGTAAACCCGGTTCCTGTTGCGTTGCTACAGGGTCCCGGTTCCTATAGCGTTGCTATGGAAACCCAGTTCCTTCTGCGTTGCTAGGGGAATCGGTTTCAAATAGCTCAGTGGAAAGTGACAATTCGATTCGACGGCGTTTTCGATTGCAGAGTCGATAATCGATTGGCCGTCTCGTTGGTCGCTTCAGTCAAAACACAGCGAGTTGGCGCAGTGGGGGGCACGGCTGCTGCATCTGCCATCTCAGTCAATCGGTCAACACATGGCACCTGGGTCTGTCCCGTGACCTCCTGCACCTAGCCTGGCACAGCAGTCAACCCATAACACCTGGGCCTGTCCCGTGACCTCCTGCACCTAGCCTGGCACAGCAGTCAACCCATAGCACCTGGGTCTGTCCCGTGACCTCCTGCACATGACCTGGCACAGCAGTTAACCCATAACACCTGGGTCTGTCCCGTGACCTCCTGCACCTAGCCTGGCACAGCAGTCAACCCATAGCACTTGGGTCTGTCCCGTGACCTCCTGCACTTAGCCTGGCACAGCAGTCAACCCATAACACCTGGGTCTGTCCCGTGATCTCCTGCACCTAGCCTGGCACAGCAGCCAACCCATAGCACCTATAGGGTCTGTCCCGTGACCTCCTGCACCTAGCGTAGCACAGCAGTCAACCCATAACACCTGGGTCTGTCCCGTAACCTCCTGCACCTAGCCTGGCACAGCAGTCAACCCATAGCACCTGGGTCTGTCCGGTGACCTGCACCGAGCCTGGCACAGCATTTAACCCATAGCACCTGCAGGGTCTGTCCGGTGACCTCCTGAACCTAGCCTGGCACAGCAGTCAACCATTGGCACCACCTGGGTCTGTCCCGTGACCGCCTCTTTCTACACCTAGCCTGGCACAGCAGTCAACCCATAGCACCTGTAGGGTCTGTCCGGTGACCTCCTGCACCTAGCCTGGCACAGAAATCAACCCATAACACCTGGGTCTGTCCCGTGACCTCTTTCTACACCTAGCCTGGCACAGCAGTCAACCCATAGCACCTGTAGGGTCTGTCCCGTGACCTGCATCTAGCCTGGCACAGCAGTCAACCCATAGCACCTGGGTCTGTCCGGTGACCTCCTGCACCGAGCCTGGCACAGCAGTCAACCCATAGCACCTGCAGGGCCTGTCCGGTGACCTCCTGAACCTAGCCTGGCACAGCAGTCAACCAATGGCACCACCTGGGTCTGTCCCGTGACCGCCTCTTTCTACACCTAGCCTGGCACAGCAGTCAACCCATAGCACCTGTAGGGTCTGTCCGGTGACCTCCTGCACCTAGCCTGGCACAGAAATCAACCTATAACACCTGGGTCTGTCCCATGACCTCTTTCTACACCTAGCCTGGCACAGCAGTCAACCCATAGCACCTGTAGGGTCTGTCCGGTGACCTCCTGCACCTAGCCTGGCACAGAAATCAACCCATAGCACCTGGGTCTATCCCGTGACGTCGTGCCAGCGAGCGAGCCTTCGACGCGTCACGTGATAGCCTCAAAGTGCACCTGGCCTGGCACAGGCGCCGTGGTGGCGTTAACCAAAAATGTGACAGTTACTTTTGCGCAATAAGTTCAACAATCGTGATGATCGCACTTTGTTAAGCGCAGTCATCGCATACCGCACTCGATGCAGTGCTTGCAGGTTTCCGTCATGATCGATGACAAAATAAATCATTGATTTGTTCCCGTCAGGAGTCTTCGGCGGTTTTATTTTAGGACCCCCGCCTCGTCAGTCTCACGTTCCATAGTTCGAGCTCCGCGACAGATCGGCATCGATGTCACAACCCACGCGGTTTAGCCCTGATAAGGGGTTGACAGGTATGGTATAGTGTAGTGTATAGTATTGTAGTGTGTTGTAGCAGATGCGTTCTGGCAAAACAACCCCATACCTCGTGGTGCCGGATGGGCAACGCTGTCATAGACAGTGCTGTGGGGGAAGGGACAATTCCGATTGGCCTTTTCCCTCATGGCATTTCTAACCACCACAGCGGCCAAATGGGGGCTCTGGACGGGTGCGAGGGGCTGGTAACCGCTCCACCTTCAATGAATTGCCACTAAACCACGACGACAAAATTTAATGAATAAGCTTGTGCCGGAGACCCCGGGGTGACAGGCATCTATGACGTCTATTAGCCAAACCCCATTTGGCGGAGCTAGGAGACTGAAACCTTACCCTTGGGGCTCCTCCAGAAACAAAAAAAACCACTACGTGTGGTCACGTGGAATGTTGAACGCTCACTGCGGATGAGAGGCTGCCACTCCTCTGTCAGGAGCTGGACCGGTACCGCCTGGATCTCTGTGGTATTCAGGAGGTCCGGTGGACCGGCTTTGGCTCCTGCCACCATGAGGGGTGGACAGTCCTCTACTCGGGGCAGGAGACTGCCAAACAACAGGGTGTGGCTCTTCTTCTGAATAAAAGAATGAAGGGGGCACGGGAGCGTGGCGGTGAGGTGTGGGAAGTTGTGAGCCCCAGGCTACTTTGGGCTCGCCTTCCCATCAACCAGAGGCGCGGAGTGGTGGTCCTGGTTACTTATGCCCCTACCGAAGATGAACATCAGTGGAGGAATGCAGGCAAGGCCGATGAGTCGGATGCCTTCTATGACCTCCTGTCACAGGTGCTAGCTAAAGTGGCCCCTCGGGATAGAGTCATCTTGTTGGGTGACTTCAATGCCCGAGTTGGTCATGATGCTGGCACCTGGTCTGGAGTAATTGGAAGGCATGGGCCAGATCAGCTCAATAACAACGGCACATCCACACCACATCATGGATGCATGCCGGGTCTAAGCAAGAACATCTGCTGGACTACATAATGATACAACAGCGGATGCGGGCCCATGTCCTTGACACCAGGACCTACCGTGGAGCTGATCTGCTCACTAACCATCGACTTGTCATCTGTAAGATGCACCTGCCATTCTTCCACTCCGGTGTGGTGGGTGTACACCCAGGACCCCATTCAAACCCTTAGTGGCATGGTCTCAGCTAGCAGATGAAAGTTGCAAGTGAGAATTTCATCATCGCTTGCGGCTGGGGTTGGCATCGTCCCCCACTCCTCCTGATGTCAAGGGGAAATGGGCGAGGTTTAGGACTGTGGCTCATGCAGCTGCATTGGCTGCTTTGGGTACACTGTCCAGACCTCCCCAAAGACCCTGGCTGACAGAGGAGGTGTTCAGGCTGGCTGAGAAAAAGCGACAGGCCCACTCTAATCGTCTACAGCATCCCACGTCAGAGAATGAGGAGGCTTACTGCAGCCTTCGGTCAGAAGTTCGGAGAGCTGTGAGGCGCTGCAAGGATGGGTGGTGGTTGCGGGTTGCTGAGGAGATGGAGTCTGCCTCAATGGAACGCGATCACAAATCGCCCTTTAATTCCATCAAAAAAGTAACCTGCAGCACCACACCTATTAACATCATTAGGGGAAAGAACGGTGATCCAATCTCCGACCCCCAGGGACAGGTTTGCAGATTTCCTGAGCATTTATGTGAGGTCCTGGGGAAGGGGAAATCCCTCAGCCAGGAAAACAACGTGGGACAAAGTGGCAATGACCCTGCCGAGGCTGCGGTGCCTCAAATATTGGAAGAAGAAGTCACCCCCTGTGAGTGGCTGGCTAAGGAGCCATCTGTTGAGGAAGTACTGAAGGCGATCCAGAGTCTGAGACCAGGAAAGGCACCGGGCAGAGATGATCTCCCAAGCAAAATTCTGAGGGAGGGTGGCGTTTGTGCACAGACTGCCCTACATGACATCATAACAACAGTCTGGACCACTGGATGGGTTTCGCAGGATTAGAAGGATGCCCTGGTGGTCCCCCTCTTTAAGAAGGGGGACCGCACAGACTGTAACAACTACAGGGGTATCTCACTCCTCAGTGTGCCGGGAAAGGTCCTGGCAAGGATTATGTAACATCGCCTTGCTAGGCACGCTGAGGAGAGGCTTGCGGAGCCCCAATGCGGTTTCAGGAAAGGGCGGTCCTGCACAGATGCCATATTTTCTGTCCGTCTGCTACAGCAGAGGTATAGGGAATTCCAACAAGAGCTACATCTCTGCTTTATTGACCTGGTCAAGGCCTATGATACCATCCGCAGGCCTGGTCTCTGGGTTGTTCTTTGTGCTTTCGAAGTCCCTGGCCCTCTGCTCATGATAATTAAGGACATTAGTGATGGTGAGTGGGCCCGGGTAAAACTACGTGGCCGGGAGTCAGAGCCATTCCATGTACACCTTGGGGTGCGACAGCGATGTCCTCTTACTCCCACATTATTTAACATCTATTTTGACCACTTACTTCGTGAAGCCTTCAATAGCTGTACTGGAGGAATTCCATCCGGTACATATACAATGAGAGGCTGATCGATGCCCGGGTGCAGTCAAGAGATGCATCCCTATTTTTCAAACATGTTATGTATGCCGATGATCTGGTTATTGCT